GCGCTCCTCGCTCCGGTCCGCAGCCCCTCCGCACCTCCCGGGTGAGGCTCCCAGAGAAAGTGAGTAAGAGTGGGGCCCCTTCCAGGGCTCCCCGACCCCGGGGAAGGATGAACTAAGGCGGCGGAGCGGGCAGCGGGGAGCTTTTGGCTCCTTCTCCCCCCACCCCAGCCCGCACCGGCATCCCCAGGTCCCCAGAGATCCTTGGGGGCTCATTTCGAAGCGCCGAGGAGGGCGCGAGGGGTGTGGGGGGTGTGGGTCCCAGATGCTGCGGACTTCTGAGTCAGGTTGAGTTTGGTTTGGAGACTTGGGGAAAAGGGTCACTCATCCTCTCCCAAAGCCCTCAATCTATTGAGGTGGCACAGACGGGTGAACGTGGCATAGGCTGGGGTGGGGTTTCGGGGAGCAGGTTGAGCCAGCGCCTACCTCCCGCAGGGTTTGCCGCGGTCTGGGCAGGTTGGCCCGAGCTCCCCTTTGGAGGACCCCACACATGTCCAGGAAGCAAACCTCCTTGCCTCGCAGACTCAGGACCCGGAATTCAGGTTCCGCTGCTCTAGGTGGGCTTAAAGAAGGTCGTTGTGGATTCTAAATATCTCACACACACACACACACACACACACACACACACACACACACACACACACACACACACACCACTCCCCCTCGGCCCCCCGGCGTGTAAATACAGATGTGTTAGTTCTGGAGGAAGAATTAGTTGCAGGTGTGTGGGCGTCCAGAAGCGCTGCCCTCCATATCCCCGTGTATACAAATAAATTAACCTTTCCCCCAACTAGACAAAGTCTGTGTAAAGGAAGTGTTTATTTAAAAAAAAAAGAGAAAGAAAGAAAGTCTCCGTTGTCAAGGGCAGTGACTTGATGTTCATTGGATCCCTCCAAGTTGGCATCAGAACGAGTCTCTATCGGCTTGCACACAGAATGTGCTTTTTGCCCGTTTAGGTGTTTAACAGGGGAATTGATTTTCTGGTGGATGGGTTTTGATGAGGAGATAAGACAATTTCCCATTTTGGCAATGGAGGAACATTCACCATATTTGGATTTGCTTCATTTCTCTGACACTGATTTCACCAAGCTCATGTAAAAGTTGGTGATGGTTGACATAGTTAGCTGATGAAACTGATTGCTCAAGTGGTGGCAGTGGCTAGGTTAGCCTTCTGTCCCTTTTACTTTCTGGGCCTGAGTTTATGATTAGAGCTAAGTATTTACCAAAAGAGCTGACCGATTACAATAACTGAAAAGAACCTGCTGGATGTTTGGCTCAGTCCTCAGCTAAAGGTAAGGCCCTTAAGACATTCTTAACATTTCTGCCAGGAACTGTTGTATATATCTGTATACATGTGACTGTAAATGCTACTTTGGATCCCATAGACTGTTTTATTTGACTGTCTGCCTGCTTGGAGAACTTTAAATATAAAATAAATCAGCTATAAGGACTTTAAGACTTTAAACTCTTTTATTTAGTAGATCTTGAGCTGAATCCCATCAAAGTTAAATCACTTGCACGATTTCATCTAATTAGGAAATCTAAAAATCAGGAACCAAGAACCTGATCTAAAATACTTTCACTCTTTAAGGCTTTATGTCCAAATATGAGATTTGTGTTATTTTTCCAAAATGAAGATTCTTATAAAATCATATTTCAGTGGTTCCAGCTCCTGATCTAAGTGATGAATTCATCTAAGTACTTTGGAAACAGGTCCTCCTTATGGTTTATACTTCAAGACTAAGGACACTTAAAGTATATTAATATTGGTTTTTTAAAATGATGTATCTGTTATAACCTATGGCCCTAAGTTTCAAGATATACAGCATTTCTGAAAGATTACTGAAATAAGACATGCTGGTTCTTTCATGACATATGGATCTAAAATTGACCCTGTCTACTGTTCATTATGAAAGTCAATAATCAGGGCACTTAGGAGATAGCTGAACTAATTCTTACGACACTGATATAATATCCACATAGTCACTAAGCAGTGATACAAGTAGACTAACTTCTGATTTTTTCCCCCCAGGGAGAACACTGCAAATCTCACCCATATCCAGATCAATAGTATGATTTCTTAGGAATCAAGAATCAACACTGGGTTATTTCCAACTGTTAACCTTGAGAGCCCACTTGGACACTGCAGCAAGAAAGGATAACCATCCACACACTTGGACATGAAAAATGATCTTTGATCAGGGAGTTCTCTCTCTTCGGCTCAACCACCAGAAATAGAAGGAACACCATTCTGACCAAACTCATCCAGATGAATCAAGTCAACCCTTTTTAGCAAGGAGTGGAGCTGCAGAAGGGTGGCCAGGTCACTGTCTTCTGCTCGCACCATCATTGAGCAGCCTTCTCCAGAACTGCTACCTAGAGTGGTCCTCCCTCTCACTGGTCATTGTGTATTGGGGTGTTACTGTGTCTTCCCAGACAATGTGGCTCTTTTCCTAATTTGCACCAAGGCATCTATATGGGCTAGTGCCAGCTCTGGCTATTCTGTTCCTAACCTGAGTCCTATCCAGGATTATATTCCTTACTTTGAATGAATAAGTAATTCTCAAGTACAAATTAGGTTTATTGTGAAAGATGAGATATATGATTTAAATTGAAAATGAATTTCATAAGTAAAGCTCAAAATATGCAAGTGAATTTTGTATATATGTGTCTATGTATATATATTTGGACATATATTTCTATCATCAGAAGGTAGGACAACTTTGAAAAAAGAAGTTAGGGCCAACTTAAATTGCTAAATGTTTAAAAGAAAACTATTTGGGGTTTTGGAGTCAGTTTAATATATGGATTTCTGGCCTTCACAGAAATATGTATTATTTAATTCCATTTCAACAGTCCCCTATGCTAAGCAGTATGTATACAGTTATGGAAAATGATACAAACACTCAGCCTCCAGGTAGTTAATCATCTAGTAAGGAAGACAAATGATAAGGTCACAAATAAATTTATAGCTGTAAATTATAATAAGTGCTTTGAAAGAAATGCCAAGATGAAGGATAACAAATCACATCCATCCCAAGATTAAGTGACTTTAAAGAGCCTCTCTGGGGAAAAGACATTTCAACTGAACCCCAAGGGTGCGTCAGAGTTTATGAAGTGACTTCACCTTGCCATTTAAAGTAGAGAAGCATTTGAACTGAGAACAGAATTTGGCACATTTAAGAGAACAAAAGTGCAGAATAAAATAGATAACTAAAAAAAAGAGGCCAGAGACCAAAATTCACAGTATCGCCACTAAGGAAGTTTGGGAGACCTTGCTACTGCTGTGTGATTCCACAGAGGAAGGTCGGCTGACAGAGGCGAAGAATAAATCCACATCTTTTAAAAATTGAAGATTGGTTATAGTTCAAGTGCACTGACACAGTGGTTGGAGCTACTGGTTAATATGTCTTTCTGAAGTTGGCATTTCTGTGTGCCAGACACTGCTCTGGGGACACAGCAAAGAGCAAACTTCTCCTGGAGCTTGTTCTCATGGGGGAAATAGAGAACAAATAGCTGTGGACCATACATGGCATTCAATGCATGGAGCAAAGGAATCATGAGGAAGAGGGTGCAGCAGTTGAGAGAAATAGTTATTTCCCAGACACAGGAAAGGTGTCTACTGAGTGAGTGATTGGTCATACACGAAGCAGCAAGCCATGAGGATGCAGGTATCTGCAAGGCACAGGGAATGGCAAGTTAAAGCCATGAACACACCAGCACTCTTGTTGTGTTCAAGAGTTATCAAAGAGGCCTATGTGACTGAGGGGAACAGGTGACAGAAAATGACAAGAAGGAGGGCAGAGAAGTAACCAGGGCTCAGATCTTGTGAGCAGTTATGGACTTAAACTCTTATTGAATAAGTAGGTCAGGGATCTTATCAGAAATAAACTCTTAACTATTTTCACAAAGTGAATAAAATGTAAGGTATTGGTTAAATGGATGTCCAAGAATTACAAGAGCTAAAAGGGAACACTAAAGAGGAATTCCTGAGGCTGCTGCATTTCCAGGCTTTGGCAGCTGGGGGAGAGTTAGTGTTGACAGGACCCAGAAACTTGCACCAGCTCTGGAGATGTGGTTGCTGCCCATTGGTGCTGATCCCCTGAGATGGTGAAAAGAAGTCCATCATAGGAGGGCCTGCTAGCCTTTTAATTAATTAATTAATTAAATTTTTAAATGTAGGTATTTTCTCCTTTGTTCTGCCTTGGCCACTTCCCACCAATTTGAAATGTTTTGCCTGTTTATTTTCATTCAGTTCAAAATACTTTCTAGCAGTCCCCACCCCCAAGTTCTTTGACCCAGAGGTTATTGAGAAGTGGGCTTTCTAGATGTTTGGGGATCTTCTGTTGTTAATTCTAACTCAGTTCCATTGCAGGCAGAGAGTACACTCCATATGCATTGAATTTTTAAATTTTGAGACCTTTTTATGGGCAGGAAAATTGTCTGTCTTGGCAAGCATTTTATGAACAAAAGAATGTTTTGCTGTTGTGGAGTGGAGGGTACTGAAGGGTCAGGTCACTTTGGTAGATAATGTGGTCCAAGTTGTCCCTTAGATTGACTTTCCATCTGTTCATTCTATCAGTTATTGCAGAAAGGATACTAATATATGGCGGATTTTCTGTTTCTTGCAGATCTGCCCATTTTTGCTTAGTATATTTTGACGCTTTGCTTTTAGGTGCATGAATGTTTAGGGTTGTTATGTCTTTGTGACAACTAGACCCTTTTGCCATTATGAAATCTTTCTCTATCCCTAGCAGTATGTTTTGTTCTGAACTCCTCTGCCTGCTACTCATTTAACCAATCCCACTTGTCTTTTGATTAACTTGGTGTATCTTTTCCCATCCTTTTACTTTTATCCTGTTTCTGTCTGTATATTTAAAGTATATTTATTATAGGCATCATATGGTTGGGTTTCACTTGTTTTTGTCAAAGTAACATGCTATGACTTTTAGTTGAGATGTGTATACCCTTTACATTTGATGTGATTATTGAGGTGGTTTAAAATCACCTAACTATTTGTTTTCTGTTTTGTCTTATCTATTCTTTGTTCACGTCTCTTTTCTCTACTTTTTGATTAATTAAATATTTCTATTATTCCATTATATTATTGGCTTATTAGCTCTTATTTCAAGAGGTCAACATTATATTGTATTATAGTTAATATCATATCACTTTATTATAAGAACTTTAAAGCAGTGTACAGTTGTCCTTTGGTATCTATGGGAGCTTGGTTCCAAGACCACCTGCAATCATACAAAATGCTTATTGAAATTGGCATACTATTTGCATGTAATCTATGCACCTCCTCCCCTGTATTTTAAACGACTTCTAGATTACTACCCCACCCTGTGTTATACTTTTTCTCCTTCTCTTCTAGATTACTTATAATAGCTATAACAATGTAAATGCTATGTAACTAGTTGTTATTTTGTTTAGGGAATAATGAGAAGGGACAAATATCTGTACATGTTTAGAGCAGATGCAGTCCTTTTTTCTAATATTACTGATCTGCCATTGATCTGCATCATCCACAGATTTAGATTTCCTCTATGTCTAGAACATGCAGAAGAATGCTCTTGTGTGATACTGGGCAGAAGTGACCTACAGCTCCCAATCACCCAAGTGATCACAAGGGGAAGGAACTGACTCTCTATATGTACTGTGTTGCTAAACTATGATGTTCAGTAGGTTAGATGCATTAAGAGAATTTTTGATTTATGATATTTCTAACTTATAGTGGATTTATTATGATATAAATTGAGGAACATCTATACTTTAAATATTTTTGAGATAGCTCCACTGTCTCCTTAATTACATTTCCAGGGGGAAATTACTCTTATTTTGTTCCTCTGTATATAATTCCTTTATACTCTGGTTGCTTTTCATATTTTTTCTTTATCAATTGGTTTCAGGTTCTCTCTGTATGCTATTTTAGATTTTTTTTATGACTCCCAGGTTAATTATAAACTACTGTTTATCCCATCCAGGTTTTATTTCTTATTTTTTTATTCCCTTTCAGGTATTGAATTTTTATCTCAAAAAGTTTGGGTCTCTTTAACTCCTTGAAGTCAGCCCTTTACCAGATTAGTCTTTCCTCTGCATTCTTGAACATTCTTGGACATATGGAGTGCATGGTTTTAATAACTATTTCAATGTTGTCGTGAACTCATTCTTTTTGATTTTTTTCCTCCTAACTGTGGTTCATATTTTCCTGCTTCTTTGCATGTCTGCTATTTTTTTTTGTGTTGAGATTCTGTTATGGACCAAATGTGAAGCCACAAAATTCATATATTGAAACCCTAGCCCCTGATGTGATGGGGGTGTCACGAGGTAGGACTTTTAGGAGGTCATCAGGTCATGGAGCTGGAGCCTTTATGAAATGATTCCCCTGAGAGCTCTCTCACGCTTCTTGTGCCACGTGAGGATCCAGGAAGAGGTGGACTACCTGCATTCTGTCAGAGGACCCTCCTCAGGACCCGACCATGCTGGCACCCTGACCTAGGACTCTCTAGCTTCCAGAACTGTGAGAAATAAATGTTCATTGTTTAAGTCTTAAACAGTATCATTTTTTTGTGTGTGTGTGTGTATAGGAAGGTTTTTGAGAACCAATTAATTTCTTTCATACATCTAGCATGAAACAGTGCAGCGGGTGATTCATTTCCATAGTCATTTTATTATAGTAGCCCAAATTAACTAAGGCAGATTCCAAACTTTGTAATTACCCTTGTAGGATGTTTGACATAGTTTCCAGTAAATATTTTATTTTATTTTGGTACCAGAGATTAAACTGAGGGATGCTTAACCATTGAGAAACATCCCAGCCCTTCCTCCCCCCCCCCCCCCCCGCTATTTTGAGACAGGTCTTGTTAAGTTACCTTAGGCCTCGCCAAGTTGCTGAAGCTGGTTTTGAACTCTTGCCTCAGTTTCCCAAGCTGCTGGGATTATAGATATGTGCCACTATGCCTGTCTACAATAAATATTTTTGAGCTTTATTCTGAAATGCAGTTAGATTATTTTCTAAAAGTCGGATCTTTCGCGTTTGTGATTAAATTTTGCAAAACCAGAACCACTTTTAACCCAAGGCTAATTTTCTCATCCTGGACACGCTGTCGAATTTTCCTTGATGACGAGGAACTTTTCTTAGACCTATGTGAGGTCTAAGGTCCTACTCCTTCCAATTGGCTCTTTCCATTTTCTTAGGCAATTTCCCCATATGTGTCTTCTATTAAATAGTCAGTGGAAGACTTGAGGGTTTCCTCTGTGGCTCTCTTCGGCTCTTGCCCTGGGCAGCTGACCCTTCTCCTTTTGAATCACAGTTTCTATGGCCTCTCTGGACTCCATGCTTTTCTCCTTATTCAAGGTCGTTGCTGGGCTGTTTGGCTTTCCCCTCCCTGGATTCCTTCTTCCTGTAGGAAAATAGGTACCAAGGGCTAGGACAGTCTTCAACTCACCCTCTTTGCTTTCCCTCTCTCAGGGATCAGTGTCCTGTCTTATTTACTTGATGTGCAAGACCTAAAAGCTGAGCCCAGTTTTTCAGTGCCCATCATTATATTACAATATTAACGGGTTAATAGTTTGGGCTGGGGTGGTAGATCCGGTTCCGGTTACTCCATCTTGGCTGGAAGCAGAAGTCTGAAACATTTTCACTCTTGTGTCTGGGGAAGTTTTTGACAACCAATTTAGCATCTTTCATACGTCTAGGATGTAACCGTCCAGGGGATGATTCATTTCCATTTATTAATTGTCAGTTCGTATTCATGTCTTTCCTTGGGCCTAGCTTCCTTACTCAACAGCTTCACAAAAAGTTGGTGTGAATTTATTTCAGCCTTTTCCAACTGGTGCCCTCCATGAGGAACAAGGGTCCTGACTTCAGGTCCCCATTTCCTATGGGAATCTTTTTTAACTCTGCCTGCCACCTCTTGTTTCTAAAGTCAAACTCGGGTCTTCTTCCCTGCTCCACCATGACCTTGGGGACCCATGATGTCCAGGATGTGATTTTCCTGGTGCTCCAACACCAGCAGCTTCTTCTTCTGATTGTGCTAGACAACACGTTGAATTTATTTAGAAAATATACCAAAAATCCCATTATGTTCTCCTAGAAGGTAAACCTTGTTGCTGTGAGAAGGGCAAGTCAGTGGACAGGCTTCAGTCCTCCTCCGTATTTGCTACCCACCCAGCATCTTTGCCTCTTCTGCCTGTTGAAAGGCAGATGGCTCCCTCTGGGCTGCAGTCCCTCCATATTTATTCTGGACTGTGTCTTCATATTCTGCATCATTGAGCTCCAATCTCCCACCCACTTTCCACCTTCTAGAAAGGTGTTGAGGTCTATCCACTGATAAATTATCTTTTGTTCTTTTCACTGCTGTGTGCCCCCCCCCTCCCGCTGTTTTAAATTGTCATATCTTATTCTAATGGGATCCCAGGAACAAGAGGACTGTGCTGTCCAAATGGCATCAATTGTTTGTTGCTAGAGCTAAAGGTTATTTTTTCTGAAACTTTCACATTTTGTTCTTTGATGCTTGACAAATACCTTTCCTTGAAGTTGTGTTTGCTCTTCTTTCAATAACTTCAATCTCAGTTGGGTTTACTCTTATTTATTTGGATACAACATCTCAATCTTCACTTCCTCTCTGTGGAACAGTCTCCCTTCCTTCCTTCTTTCCTTCCTCCCTCCCTCTCCCTCTCTTGCTTGGCACGTGTCCCTACCCCCCTCATAATGAGGATTAAACCCCGGGGCACTTTAACACTGAGCTAAATCCTGCTTTTTATTTTTAGATATAGTCTTGCTAAGTTTCTAAGACTGGCCTCAAACTCCATGATCCTCCAGCCTCAGCCTCCCAAGTAGCTGGGATTGTAGGTATGCGCTCTACATTCCTTTACAGGTTTCCGCTCCCCAGATTTCTATCTTTGACCTCCTCCTCTTCTTAGTGTGCCTTTTGGACATTTCCATTTGATAGCCAGCCAGTGTTTCAAACTCACATACCCCAAACTGCACTTGTCTTCACTTCTGAATCTGCTACCCCAAATGAACCTTGTATCTTGATGAGCAGTACTTCTGTATTTCTAACCATCAACCCCAAAATTCAGGAGCCGTCTTCACTTCCCATTCCACATACAATTGGCCATTATGTCCTGTATATAATACCTCTTGAGTATGGCTCAGAATTATTCATTTCTTTCCATCATCTCATCTATTGCTTTTTTTATTTAACTATCAATAAATTTTTTACTACAGAAAATTTTATGCATAGTAAAATTGTACATGTTCCTCACCTTAACCAATGACTGACATTTGGCTAGTCTTGTCTAATTTATATTCTTCCCTTACTTCACACCTCCACTGAGTTAGTCTAAAATAAGTTCCAGATGTTGTCCTATCATTTCATTGGTAAAATCCTCAGTACGTATTTCTAAAAGACAAACTTTTTTTAAAAGACCTGAGTATAAAATGTTTATCATCATCTCAATAATTTCTTAATAATAGAGTCACATGTCCACTAAGTGTTTACATTCCCTAGGTTTTCTTGCAAGTTTTTTTTAATAGTAGTTCAAATCTGTAACTAAGCAAAATCTACACACTGTATTTGATTAAGACATTACTGAGTCTTCTTTAGTTTTTTTTCCCCTGAAGTAATCAAGTCATTTGTCCTGTAGAATTTTTTTACAATTGGGAATAATTTGATTGCATCCTCCTGGTGTCTTTAAACATGTTTTTCTATATTCATATTTTTAGTAAACTCACATTTAGATCTAGGGGCTCGACTAAATTTTTTCAAGAATGGTTTCTGTTTCATCATATTGGGAAGCATCTAATGTATGCCTTTTGGTAATGATAAGTTATTTTAATAGTTTTTTGTATTATTTTACTAATTTGATTTAAAAATTTCTGTAGCCTTTCATTTGGTGGTTTCAGTAGCCATTGCTGATCATCATCTAGGCACATTATTGGGGGATTATCACTTCTTACTAGCTTTATCACAAAAACTTCCTAAGGTCTCCTTGCCTGTAATTTTTTTCTTCAATTCCAGTCCATTGAGCCCACTCCCACTAAATGCATGTTTATACACCACAAGTCATTTCATGTGACTCCTCTGCTTCAAGTTCTTCAATGGTTATTTAGTCAATTCAGAATAAAGTCCAAAATCTATAGCAAAGTCATGTAAAAATCTTTATCATCTGATCCCACAATCTATTTTTTGCTTTACATATGTAAGCATTTGAATTTTTTTGGAAATTCCTCTTTTTTAATTTATTTTTTTATTAGCTACATATAACATTACAATGATCTTGGCAATTCATACGTTTGAATCATTGGGGTATAATTTCTCATTTTTCTAATTGTACAGATTGCAGAATCACACTGGTCATAGAGTCACCTATATACATACAGCAATCATAATGTCTATTCTATTCTTCTGCCCTTCCATCTTCCAACTCTTGTCTGCCCAGCTCCAAATCTGGAAATTCCTCTTGAAGCAGAGAAGTTATAAAATATTGGTTGAGTGTTTATGGTACTCAGGGGTAAGTTGATTGACAGCTGAAATACAGGCAGGTTGCAGAATGACTTTCATAGCGGCGGCATCCAAGCCATTAAGAAGCAGAACATATTGAGAGGTCTTTGACCACATCAACAATGGCAATGTGGCGTGCTCAAGGCCAAGAATTTTGACTCCAGGGAAAGGAACTCAGAGTAGGGTTATAAGATAAGGAAGTGATGATTTTTGGAGAAAAAGCTAAGTTATATTTTACTTAATTATTTATTTCTTATTTTTGTGGTACTGGGAATTGAACCCAGAGACCTTATGCATGCCAGACAAGTGTTCTACCACTGAGCTTCATCCCCAGCCCAATTTCAAAATGCATTAATTATACATTTGCCACAAGAAGTAATTGTTTGCTAAGGTTATGTTGTCTTTAAGCTCCACTCCCATGACATTTTTCTCTTGAAGTTACTACGTAGATATAAATATGTACAGTTTAATTATATAATTGATTTATTTTAACTCTTCCATTTATATTTAATTCACTCATAATCCTTTGCAGCTGTTTTGATTATTATATAATTAATTCATTATAAGAACAGTTTTTAAAGACTACCTATTTTGTCTTGATAATTTTACTATGCAAATGATATTTACTTACTTAATTCAGCTGGGAAAAAAATGTATTGCTAGAACAGAAGCACCAAATAGCAGATGGTATTGACATATATGTCTGTACAGACAGTTGGCAATACTCAGTGTCTACAATCCTAATCGTGTCTGGATCGTGGTGTAATGTTTTCTCAGCAGTATCTACTGGACCTGGCCATAGCCGTGGATACTGTGATTTGCCGCCATCACTGTAGCCTCTTGTCTGCCCAGCTCCAAATCTGAAGTATGTTTTTGAGTCTCCCGGGTTCCACTGATGCCCCCACTGAACTGACTTTCTGTCTGAACATTGACTGGAGTCTGTGGGTGAGGGTTGAGGTGGGAGAGTCTCATGCAGATTTTCTTGTGGTGGCTGGAGGTTGCGTGTCTTTAGAAATTGTGTTTTATCAATTCAAACACATTGAAAA